GTCCTTGGGTACTGCAGAATCATCCTGGAGGAATTAGTACTCGCCTCACCTCCTGGGCAGCTTCACGTTTGAAATGACCACCCCAGGACAAGGAGAAAAACAGGTCCAATAAAGGGTTGTCCTTGGAAAGTCTCACTCATGTCACCAGGGAGTCACAGTATCAGCACCAGCTCCAACAGGAAAACCCACATGCTTGCCAGTGACACCCAGACCCTCCCATTTGGACTGTAGAATGACAGAACCCTGTTTGGTAAAGAAGGCTTATGTCTGACTTCATGTGGGTGACATCAGTAAAGGTCTGGGAGGGTCTGAGATCCTGACTCAGCTCCAAGTTCTCAGCTCACAGTCTGCCTGACAATTTCTCAACTAATATCCACATAGGATTATAGGGGGTGAGTGATCTTTGTCACTGAATCTGTCATAGCAAGTTAACCATCCATCTATTCATGCAATGATATGCATCAAATAACTTTTTAAAAGTAATTTTTATTTAAATTAAAAGCTATCTTATTTTACATACTAATTCCAGTTCCCTCTCCCATGTCCCCTTTAACCTCCCCATCCCATCCCTCATCCATTCCCCAGGAAGGGTGAGGCCTCCCACGAGGATCATCAAAGTCATTTAGGGCAGGGTCTAGGCCCTCCACTGTGTATCTAGACTGAGAGAGTATCCTTTCACAGGGAATGGGCTCCCAAAGGCTAGGGATAAATACTGGTTCCATTGCCAGAGGCCCCCATAGACTGCCCAGGCTTCCCAACTGACACCCACTTTCAGGGGGCCAGGTTGAGCCCTATGCAGAGAACTTTTCATTTACATCGAATGTGTCATAGTGAATGGATGCCTGGCTGAATGGAATGACTACTTGGATGGATGGTGGATGAGGAAGATCACTAAGATGGAGTAGGACAGACCCAGGACCCATTCCACAACATTATGCATCTGTGAGGCGTATGAACAAAGTGTTTTAGTTATGAATGTAAGAAACGTAAATCAAAGTGACCTATGCGGGGATGAACAGGAAATGCATTAAATCCAGTAAGCAGCTAAAAACTCACCAGGAGTTTGTGGCTCCTTTATCCCGAACCTCTGCCTTCAGCGTCCTTAGTCCTTCCCATCCAGTGACCATGTCTGTATTCTTCTAACTTGGTGACCCCAAAGAAAAGATCGCTTTTTCCCTTAGGAGTTCTAGAAAGGGCTTCCAGAGACTTCTCACTGGCCCAGCCTGAGCCACGTGCCGACAAATCTTAAGGCTAGGATGGTTTGGGTGCTGCTTGGTTGGACACAAAGTAGAGAGATGATGCCGCCACGCACAGTGAAGCTTGGGGACTAGGTATGAGCCCAGGGTGGCACCGGCAGACATCAAAAGACTGGACATGGGCCAGGGACGACCCTTACATGTCCTTCCCTTGGGCAACTTTTTTGCCCACTGTCCCATGCTCACAGGTCCCTCCCCGGTGCTCACTGCACAGCCCTCTGGTGCTTCGAAGTCCTGGGATGTGGAGGTTAGCCTGTTTTGCTCACTCTTGTCTTTTGGGTGGCCTACCTCATTTCCGTCTGCTGGAGACCAGCCCAAAGCCCAGCAGAGGACTCAGGTGAAGTCAGCCTGGTGAGTGAATTTAGCGAGGCTGAAAGCACTCTCTCCTAAGGAGCTGAGCACAAAGGAGGCACACTTCCCCATGAAGCCACTCCTCCTGAAAGTCCCACGAGCTAGCTCAGAAGGTGAGCATTTCCACGCATAGGTCTGCTCTCCTCTCCTTTGAACACCAAGGTAGCATCAACTCCAGGGATGGCAGCCCCCTCCCTTTCCCTCCTCTTAGTTCTGACATTAAAACTCAGCCTCTGTCTTTCATACTATATAGGTAAGTGTGGGGCCTGGCTAATAAATGTTTGAGAAGTCCTTTGAGATCATGGATGAAAGGTACCTTGTAAAATACAATTAAAAATAATAGGGGTAATTATTAGCCAGGCTAGTCCCCGCAGGATAATTACAGAGCTTTCGCCTAGCAAATCTTGAATTCATGCACAAAGGCATGGGTTCAAGGAAGAAGGCTGATTTGAGATTGGAGGTCTGCTGGCTTCAAGGGTGGAGTCCTGGAGTCCTTTCTGAAATCTGAGGAGCATGGTGGTAGGCCAGAGCTAGGACAGGCCGTTGAGATTGTCTTCAACCAACATGTATGAGTGGCAGATGAAGCTGCTGGGGCCAAGAGTCATGTGAGGGCTTCAAGCTATCCAGCAGGCATCACAAAGTTCTATCTCTGTGGAGGTTCAGGCCTAGGTCATCTCAGTTCTGGGGTTTGTGTTACCACCCGGGCTCAAGGACACAACGTGTTCGGTCTTTGCAGACTGGTGACAGGAGAATCTTGTATGAGAGTCACGCAGAGCAGAGCCCATATCCCAGCTCTGATAGTGTGAAAGATGGTTGTTGGCAAGTCATCTCCAGATGCCCACGACAGTAGCAACACCAACCTCACTAGGCTGCTGTGAAGAGCTGAGGAATGGTGTGCAGGGGAGACTGCCTGGGGCAACCTGCCTACTGTGTGCTGCTCTGAGTGTGGGCCTCTCTGAGATTAACACACACACACACACACACACACACACACACACACACACACACACGCACGCACACACACGCGCACACACACACACACACACACACACACACACTGCACAGGGAAGACTGCCTGGGGCAATCTGCCCAGTGTGTGCTGCTCTGAGTGTGGGCCTCTCTGTGATTAACATGCACACACTCATGCACGCAAGCAAGCACACACGCATGCATACACGCATGCACATCCATGGCTGGTCCATGTTTCATGGGTATCCCTAACGTGTCAAATATTTTGCTAGGCTCTCTGAGGCTATGGTTTCATTCAGCCATCATTGTATCCACCCAAGGTCAACTGTTCAGACTTAAGTTCAGGTTAGTTAGTGAATTTGTCCAAGGCCATGTAGCAGAGAGGGAGTCAGGGCTTAAACCTGGGCCACACTGTCCTCTCTTGTGAAATGAGACAGGCATATCATCGTCACCCCAACAGAACCTTTTACTGGGTAAAACTAGGGTCCAAGGTGTGTGGTATTGGCCTTTGATGGCTTCATGATTACTTAATTATTCTGAGGGTCTGTTTTGATGAAAGAAGCTAAAAGCCTCCCCCAGGAAGGGCAGTGAATCCATATCATCAGCTTTAGATTCAAGGATCCTAGATCAGGGGCTGCAGAAGGGGTTTAGCCGCAAAGAGCACTTGCTGCTCTGTCAGATGACCCAGGTTCAATTACCAGTTCCCACATGGGAACGCACAAAAAACCTGTAACTCAAAGTCCAGGGTGTCTGCTGCCCTCTTCTGGACTCTGGAGGTACCAGGCACACACATGGTGGACATATATACATGCAAGCAAAACACTCATACATAGAAAATAAAAATGAGTGAATGAATGAATCCATGAATAAATAAACAGATCCTTTAGAAAAGAAATCTAGCACAGGGATGGGGAGATAGCTTAGCTGCTAAAGTTCTTGATGTAAGAGCATAAGGAACTAAATCCAGTCCCTAGACCCTCATCAAAATCCAGGAGTGGTGGTGGTGCATTTAATACCAGCAGTGTGGAGGTGTGGAGAGGTAGCTCCTTGGGGTTCACCAGCCAGACCAGACAATTGGCAAGTTCCCAGTGACTAGATGGATGGGTTCTGAGGAATGACACCTCTGGCCTCCGAATGCACAGATTTGCATTTGCACATGGACATGCATACACACACACACACACACACACACACACACACACACACACAGACACAGAGGGGTGAAGGGGATCTGGATGAGCTCCTTAGAAACCAAGGCCTCTGTGTCACCAGGGCCTGGGCCCTCCACCAGTATCATAAAGTGTTGTGAGTTGCATGCTGTGTTGATGGTGGGTATGGGGCCTCCCAGGATCAAAGGGGCAACACCGGGAACATCTTGTCAGCTGTGACTCTTGACATTCTCGAGAAGGTTCTAGCACGGAAAGGAGGAGCCCATGCTTGTGCTTCAGGCTGGTGAACGCTGGCTTAACGCACCACGCAGGGCAGAGGCCAAACACGCCATTTCCTTTCCCAACACAGGCCAGAGCATTCGCAGCTCTGAGCTCAGACTGCTCGATGAGAAGACGGGGTTTCAGAGGCGCAGACCTTTGACATTCAGTTGTAAGTCTCAGTGGGTTCCATTTATTTCAGGGTCCCCTCTACAGATGAAAGTGAAGATTAGAGCCTACTGGCTTGACCACATCTGTGTACCACTTAAGTATGGAAGAGACCAGGCCTCTTCAATGGTCACTGGCAGAGGCTGGCACGGGAGGCAGTCTCAGTGAGGAGTCACTAAGCACTCTCCACAGATCCCCTCAGCAACCCAGACTTTGTCAGATACCCTCTCGGAACCTGGAGAGGGGACCTGTGCTTCTGAACCACTCTGCTTAGATGGATGGTCAAGTCATTCTTGAGGACGTGTCCAGAGCTGACCAAGAGAAGGGAGGCATGGGACACAACTGAGACCAAAGGGGACTCAGAGGTCATGGTGCCAGCCACCCCACAAAGGCATTTCTTTGGGATTTCCTGATGAGGTGACAGCATGGGTATTGAGGGGCTCCGGTCTTCACGCCATGGTCACTTGCTACAGGTTACTACCCCATTTCCAACCATCATTCATCTCTGAGTAATTCTCACCCACCGTCCTCAGAGCCACTGGCAATGTGTCAACTCTGAGGCAACGTGATCCAAGACTAAATCCTCCACCTTAGAGAGAGGGAAAGACCTTTAAACCTTGTCTCAACACCTCGTTCACCCTGTCTGAGAAATTCAGAGAGCCTGATCTTTAGTATGGCTATCGGTAAAACAAACCGTTTCGGTTCTGTGAGACTATGTGTAACACACAGAAAACCTTTGCCTATCGTAGGGTACCCAAACCCAAGTAATCCTCACACATCAAGGTTCCTTTGTTTCAAACATTTGTTTGTTTAGTGCTTATTTATTTGCCAAGCCCTTCATTGGCTGCTGAGGGCTGGCTAGAAAACGGATTGGGGTGTCATGATCACCCGCACTGCCACGCACACTCCCCGTTGGTTGACTATCTGCCCAGCTGAGACAGCAGGCTGCCCGAGCTTTCCCAGGATCCTCCTCCCCAAGCTTTGTGCCTCCCTGAGTCTTTCTATCATCATCTCACCTCTCCTCAGTGAGGGGACACTAAGGGACAGCATGAGGTGAGGTTCACGGGGACATTAGTCCAGTTCCTTCCTGGTGCAGCATGGGCGAGCCTGCTGTAAGAAGCTGCCACACTTCAGGGGGCAGGGGATTCCGAGTACAGAATGAACCGTGTGTGAGGAGCAGGACGGTGGGACATTTTACTTGGGAATTTAAGGCAATTTTACTTATTTTTACAGTTCTTGACGCCAGACTCCAGATGGCTTCTTCCATTCACTTTCTTCCCAGAGAAGTAGGCTCGGTAGGCTTTGTACCCAGAAGGACAACGTCCTGTCTCTTTAGCTGTGCCATTGAGGACACTTAACGGATGTCTTCCACACTAAGGATGAAAACACTGCCAGTCAGAAATTCTTGCAAGCGGCCAAAGGAAGTCTAGTCATGCCTCTGGCTTTGAGGAAGTTTCTTTAGATCCTCGATGGAGAGAAGCTGAAGACTTTGAGAGTTCAGGCACCTAGCCTGGGGGACAGGGGTGTGCCTTGCCTTCTTTGAGAGTTAGGATGGGCAGTGATGGGACCTAGGGTTGGTGCATCTTCTGTTCTCAGCACGGGTCTAAGAATCACACAGACTGGGCGTGTGGGTAAGGGAAGCTGGTGGCAGGTTAGGACTCAGGAGATACAAGAGCACCTTGAGAGATCCAGGCAGAACGGTGAGCCCACTTCCTGGTGGCCATGCCTGACTCAGGACCCAAGCAGAGCTGACTCTGTCAATTGTGCTGTGTAATGAATGGACTGACAGGCAACAGGTGACAGAGATCTCAAAACGAAGCGTCTTTCTCTTTGAGCAACTGGACCCGGAGAGAAGCAGTCTTGTTTGGTCCCACCCTCACCCGTCACACAGACTCTTACCCCGTTCCAGTTCTGGATCATACGAAAGGCAACGAGGTGCTTTGCGACATGGGTAACTCCCAGGGCACGGGGAAAGGGGCAGGTTCTGATTCAGTGGGTGTGGGCGGGGCTTGAGATGCAAACGTCTTACGAGTTCCTGAGTGAGGCTGTCTCCGAATCCTTAGCCTATGAAACACAGACACACAAGAGGGGCATCTTTTGAAACATTCTTTCCAATGCACAGGACAGACTTTAAAGCAGGAGAGCCATGCCAGCAGCGAAGACAGATCCGAGCGCACGCGTGTGAGAGAACTGGCAAGCACTGAGTTTTATGCCGATGTATGGCACGGAACCCGTTACAGCCATAGAATTTGCTGGGTAGAAAAGGAAGGTTGAATACTCCTCACTGATCTCAGGGTACAGGGTACAGAATCGTGCTGTCGATGCCTCTGCATAAAACAGCCATCAGGAGTAGCTATGCCCCGAAAAAAAGGTGATCAAGAAAAAGATCAAGGAAAAGAAATAAAACTCCATGTCTGCTTTGATTTGGGGAAGAAGGCTCTTGGGACTGCGAAGTAACAGTTAAGTTAAGCCTGGTCTCAAAACCCCCAAGATGATCAGTTAAAACAAGTGACGCCTGGCTGTTGTCCCTATGTCTTGATGTCTGACAGGAGCGATTTCAGTCTCTGTGTAGGAGTGAGCCTTCAAGCGAGCCTATAAATTCCCCACTCTAGGGGCCCACAGTGAAAACCGCAGCGCACACAGAAACATCGCCTTGAAGCAGCCGTGACAGACAGAGCAAGGCAGAGCCATGGGGTGACAGCTCGGCTGGATGGGGTGCAAGCAGGAACACTCAGCTGGAGTCCTAGCACTCACCTCAAATCTGGGTGTGGCGGCGTGCCTTTCTAACCCCAGGGCTGGGAGGGGCAGGCAGGGAGATGCCTAGGGCTCACTGGCTGGCCAGTCCAGCTGAATTAGCTTTGCACCAAGAAAGAAACCCTGTCTCAAAAAACCAAGGTGGACCGGCATCTAAGCTACCCGTGGAGATTGGGGCCTGGCCTCCACACAGGGGCAGGGGCTTTACAGGTGGATCGATTGGGAAGTGGGGGAGAAGCTGCCGGAAGGGAAATATGATCAAAATACATTGTATCAAAAACCGGAACGAGGTCTCCCCCCCAGCGGTTACTCAGCATGCCCGAGCCGGTAGCAGGGAGCAGCTATCCCAGGTGGATAATTCTCAGGGGGGTCACCCCTCTGCCTGTTCTCCCCATCTGCCGTGCCCCATCTTGCTCTGGGTTCCCTGCCTCCTTCCCCAGCCCCCAGCACTGACTCCTGGTCCTCCTCCTTATTTAAGGAACACACTCCGGGTGTGTAGGGGGCTCTCAAACCAAGCATGCTGGCTGACAGCAGTTAGAACCACGCCCCCCATTTCACCACTGCCATCAGCGGAGACAGGCAGACACCGCACTCAGCTAGAAACGGCCAGAGCCAGCACTTAAACCCGCCCTCCAAAGATGCTCTCTCCCCAGTACGCCACAGCTACCTCTAATTAGAGCTAAGTTAACGACCGACCCACCCCTCCTTTTATTGCGTTAAACCCCGACCAGCCTCTCCAATCTTCTAATCTTAAGTTTACCCAGTTGGCTGAGAAATCTCTGGGGTCAATTGCCAAGCTCAGTGTTAAGATCAAGGAAACATTAACGTGTTGTTCCCTTAGTTCAAAGGCCAGTAGAGACAAAAATCAGCCCAACACACCAGGGTACAGGGTGCCAGGTACTAGGAGAAGCAGGTCCCTGTGAGTGTCACCCTCTTCCATCCCCATCTCCAAGCAATAGGGAAACATTTCTTTTAAACTCTAAGGGCAAACACAAAAGGCCCCGCAAACATGACCATAGGCACACACAGCTGGGCAGTGAGGTTTATGGTTGAGCCCTGTGAAAGAGGTCTGTTGGCGCCCTCTTGTGGGAACGGTCAACACTGCAGTGCCACAGAACCCAGAGCCTCAGACCCTCAGAGCCACTTGCCCGAGAACCCTGCAATGGCTTTGGCCTTAGACAAGCCTAACACCCAAGTCCTACTCCTCCGTCACTCACTCTGGTCCCGTCATACCAGGGACCAGCATCCCAAGCTGAGGTTTCGAGGCAGAAAGGAGCTCGGGGCATCTGGGCGCAGAGCAGGTGGCAGGGATGTCAAGGAGTCGTCCCTGATTTCGCCCTGTGCCTTCTCATCTGTTCTTCCTGGCCTGATCCGAGACCATCCACTGTCCTCCAGAACCACATCTGGCCAGCTGCCATCCGCTCCCGCAGCAGCTTCACGAGGCGCCTCTACGCCCGTACACTGCCCTTTCCTCTCAGCCTGAAAGTGATCCAGTGCTTTGTGGTCCAGATTGGGTCTCATCTTTAGAGCCGCTCGCTCAATGCCTTTATCCTTAGAATAAGCCCAATCCCCAAGCCCTATGTGTCGCCCACTCGCTCTGGTTCAGAGCCTTGAACCCGTGGCTGCCTACACCAGGATGCTCTTGGTTCTTGTCAAGGCTCTTCCTTTTCCATCCTCCGGGGATCGGTTTCAGTTGTCCAGATGCTGGGGGAGACACTTATAGGGACCCTTATAGCCGGTAGACCCTGGCTACCCACCTCCCCATGCACAGCCCGGCCCCCAGCTGTCTGTAAGCTGGATGTAGCTAGCCTGCCCCAAACCGGTTTCCTACAGTCAGACTGGACACAAAGGGCTGGTTTGACTCAGAGCCTCTCCCATCCCAACAAGTAAATCCTAGAATACACGGAGCATCTGGGAATTAGTCATTCACTTCCTCAGCCCGGAGCCTAAGTGGATCTGCGCCTGAACCTTCCTCCCCCTGTTCTGTCACCCAGCCCTGTGCCTCGGAGTTCAGTCACACCCTGCCCTACCCTGGTAGCCGCCACCACCTCTCCCAGACCCACCCAGGGGCCACTAACAGTCTCCCTGCCCCACCCTGGCTGCGCACTGACTCAGAAAAACTAGGCTAGCAGGCCTCACGGGCCCGTGTCATTTCTGAAGGCTTCTGGGAGGTCACCGGGGTGCCCCAAAATTCAGTGTTCGGTGAGCCGTCTGCTGAGACCCATGAGGCAGTCAGTCTCCATACTTTGATTCCTATGATGAGAGAGAATTAGAAAAGCGGAGATGATCCTCTCTTGTTTGAAAGGTTTCCAGCCCACCACCAACCCACCCAATGAATAATAATTCCTATTCTTATTATTTTTGTTTTTTGAGACAGGGTTTCTCTGTGGCTTTGGAGCCTGTCCTGGAACTCACTCTTGTAGACCAGGCTGGTCTCGAACTCACAGAGATCTGCCTGCCTCTGCCTCCCGAGTGCTCGGACTAAAGGCGTGCGCAGCCGCTACCACCAGGCACCAATCAGTTCTTATTCAAGTAAAATGTTCACGAGAGGCATCTGTTGTGACAGGAAAGCAGCGGCATAGGTGCAGCCTGGGGCTTCTCTCAGTTGCAGGACAGCAGGGGAGCCATGGCTTACTTGGTTTCTGTCGTCAGTCCTCTGTGCCACCCTAAGGACTGGCAGCGTCAGCTGTGCTGAGTGGCTTTGGAGACTTGCACCCCAAACCAGGCTTAAGAGGTTTTGGAGAAGCCCAGGAGGAGAATGGAACAGTTAAGAATACCAAGATGAGGGTCGCAGGCTCTTGACGCTGGTGACTTTTCAGCCCATGTGCCTCCTAAACCAAGGATGACCTGATTTTAGCGCCATTGACTGCCATCCAGTGTTCAAATGTGGTAATGTCACATTTCTTTTCCGTGCCTTAGGCTAATGTGTTTCCTTTGAGAAGCCAAAGCCAATTTAAAAGATTGCTCTTTGTTCTCCGAGTGTCAGGATCCCTGAAGGTAAGTAAGCAAGGGACATTCAAGTCAACCAATCCACTCATTCTTATTCAAATAAAACAGACACAGAAACACAAATACCCCATTAACTCACCTTGGACCCTACAAGAGCTAATCGCTTACACACAGAGTCAAGTGGGGGTTTGGCTGGGGAAGTAGCAAGGTTGGGATAGATGGTCAGTGGGGACTAATTTGCAGTTGGATAAGAGTGAGTGTTGGTGTGCAGGCACTGTGGTGATAATGAAAATGGCGATGCATTTTCCAAAAATCTAAAGGAAATTTTTTTTTCCAGAAAGAAACGGTGTTTTAAGAAATAGGTATGCTTATCCTATCTTGGGCACCATACAGGGTATTGCACTGTCGTATGGTACCCTATGGATATGTATGACTTACATGTCAATTAAAATACAACACTACAATGCTTGCTGTCGTTCAAAACCAGGGCTTACTCAGATAGCCAACACACAGGACTCGCCAACAGCCTAGTTTGTGAAGCATGACGCTTTACTAAACGATTCCAGTGGCACAGTTGGGAGGGGCCAGTCCCTTTTAAAGAGGAAGGAGAGGGGACGGCCGGAAGTGGCTCCTTCAAGGTCATTCAGCTCACACAGTGAGCGAGGCAGTGCCTGGGCTTAGGTTTGAATCTAAGTATTACTGTGTTGAAGGAGTGCGATGGATGGGGGTTGGGGCCCGAGGAGGACCCACACTCACCCGAAGCCGAGCGATCTCGAAGAAATCGCTTTGCTCTTTGCTCTTACCCAACTACCTATCTCCCTAGGATATTATTTTTTCTTGGCTTTAATAAAGATCACTCCTTTTCCACTTCATTCCCCAGGCATGCTTTGTTACGAGCTGAAGCGTGGTGCATGGGTGGTCAGTTTGACCATCAAATGTGCTGGTTAATATGTCTTAGCCTAGATCTGTACCATACATTTCTTTTCAAAATTTAAAATTAAATGTATTTTTATGTGTTAGTAGCTCCGGCTGATCTGGAATTCTCCATGTAGACCATACTGGCTTCAAACTCATAGAGACCCTTAGACCTCTAGTGGGTTTAAGGCATGCGTCACCACACGTGGCCTTGTTCTTAAAATCATGGTCTCAGGGGAAGTATGGGCCTTTCTCCCCAGGTTTTTCTTGAATCATATTTGTTCTATCTGATGATTCTTTTTCATTTAAAAGAAGGCTTGCCAAACTCGTACATAAATTCTGTTGAGAATTAGTGGAGTAGCACTGGATATATAATTAAAGAAACTGGAGAAATTCTAATTTTCAGAATGTTTTTCTGTCCATGGACAGATGCTATAACCTCATTTGTTAAGATATCCCTTGAGCCTATTCTTTCTTTCTGTCTGTCTGTCTGTCTATCTGGTGCATATGCTGCAAATACACTTGGAGACCAGAGAACAATTTTGTGTAGTTGGTTCTTTTCTCACACCTTATGATTTTTTAATTGTTTTGGTTTTATGTGAATGAGTGGTTTTGCCTGCATGCACATGTGTGTCTGGTATCTACAGAGACCAGCAGAGGGCATCAGATTCCCTGGAACAAATGGCTGTGAGCTGCCAGGTGGGTGGTGCTAATTGAACCAGACTCCTCTGTAAGAGCAACCAGAGCACTTAGCCCTGGAACCATCTCTTCCGCCTGTAAGTGGGTAGCACCGCAAATGCCTTTGCCCAATAAGGCATCTTGTGGCTCACTTTCCTTTTTTAAAGACAAGTTCTTACTCTGTAACCAAGGTTGGTCTGGAACTCACTATGTAATCCAGGTTGGTCTTGAACTCATGACAATCCAGGTGCATTTTTGATACAGTTATGTTATCTTCTTAAATTATGCTTTTGGCATTTTTCTTGTATAGAAAATGCAATTAGTATTTTCTAATAAGAACAATAACATATATCCATCTTACAGCCGTATACTATTAATACAACTTAATTATGTCTGTTTAGTATTTACCTCAGGTTTGTAGTCACTTGACAAGTGATTTCCCTTTACTTTTAGTCTCTCCTTTTATATCAATGTGTAATAAACAACATATAGTTATATTTTAACCCCAAATTTGCCAAGCTTTCTCTTTTTACTTTCTTGCACACATGTTATTTTTGTTTTAGTTTTTTGAGTGTGCTCCCTGGTAGGTCAAGCCTGCTCCAGAGTATGTACAGATATATGGATAGGTGGGCAGCAGAAATTGGACTTGACGGGTTAAAAAGAAAGAGAACAAGTTGGGTGGGTAGGGAAGGGGGTAGATCTAGGAGGAGTTGAAAGGGTTGAGTATGATCAAAACGCTTTGCATGAAATTCTAAGAATTAATAAACAGAATAAAACCCCAAACAACACAAAGTAAGTATGACAGATTAAAATCTGTCATATTTACATCCACTAAACACAAATCTGTACATACACATAGGAAACGATTTGGTTTACCTGAGTGAAATTCCAGTTGATTTTTCTGTGAGGTAAGTTTATATTA